CTCTTGGATGCTCTGCTATTTGTAAAACCTTTTCTGTAATCATTATTTATCAAACAGTATTTAGTAACCATTTTTCATTGCTTTTGTATAACTGTACACTTCACAGGAAGAAGTGTTTAATGGAATAAAATTCATTCCTGTCTTAAGGGCAGTATAAACAGAGAACTTTCACAAGAATGTATTTCATTTTGGGAAAAAAAAAAAAAAAAAATGGCTTAATAGCCTTTCTAAAACCAGAAAAGTAATAAGCAATAAAATGCTCTTTTACTTTTCATAGTCCTCCTTAGCTCTATTGTCTGCTAACTCTCCGGTTGTTTTTATTTAAAATTTAGAGTAGAGCAGAAACAAATATCTGGAAGTCAAAAATAATTCTAGAGTTGGTTAAAAAACTGTTGTTGCAGCTATTTCATTTGTAGAGGAATGGAACTGCTGAAACCTGCAGCAGTATATGATAATGTCTGCATTTCATCTCCTGTTTTAAGTGCAGAGCCAGTGGCAATGGTATGTTTGTCTCTGCTCTCTTTCATAGGAAACTCCATTAGAGTCTGTGTTTTCAGACAGCGAGTCACCCCTGGCCATGTGAAAGCAGTGTCTTCATTCTTTCTTTTGAATGTTGACTTGTCCAAGCTGTGGAAGATGAACCACACCTTCCTCCTAGCTTGTGTAACTTTCTGTCCATTTTTTTGGTAGTACTTCAGTACACACTGCACCTGTGTTTCTCTTGTTCTTCCTAAGCCAGCCAGCATATGCTGAATGCAACAGAATGATGACAAGGACTGAAACTGTGAAAAATTTGCAGGGAGTGGTAATGTCAGATTTTCCATTCCAGAGCAATGGGAAAAGGCTGAACACAAATATTAAGAGTTTAGAGTATGAAGCACCTGTTAACAGCTGCTGCTCTGGCTTGAGGTTGCAGCCTCAAAATGCTGACGAATCACTAGTTTGTGTTCCTTGGTGCCCACCAACTTGCTGCAATAAGCTATACTTCAGGCACTGTGCGTGTTTGCACTGAGACAGAAATATTTCAGCACCTGCATGTTAGAAATATAGAGACACATTCGTCTTTGTTTTGTGATGTGATTGCTTTTTTGTTTTAAGAAATCTAACACCTATAGTTATGTTTCAAGGAAATGAATTAGAAGTAACTTTCAAAAGTACAATCAACACGTGTACTTGCTTTTGTTATTCCCTGTCATTGTAAAAACAAGTGTTGCTTCCATCAAGGGATCCACCTTCCGGAGTATATTACTGACTATAACTATAATTTCTCCTCTAAGTGATTGTCTAAGGTACATTCCCAGGGTGAAGTGGTCAGTGGTGTATGGTGGTCATTGACCACATACATGATCAGTGGTGGGGAGGTCCGTATTCTACCCCAACCATGGTAGTAGCATCCCTTGCCCCCTTCTCCCCAGCCCCCGTTCCCCTGAGTCCTTGCATTGCCTTAGTTCCTCTCAGTCACTTGCTTGAATTTTACCTGTAATTTAGGGCAGTGTTCAAACCTTTCTGCAGTGTAGTTTAAACCTTATTGTACTTGTTTCTATTTTTATTATTTAGCATTTAAATTTACTTCCTTTTCTAGGACTCTCCTTACTTACATGTATATGGCTTCTACAGCTATGCCATCTGGCTTAATGTCATTTTACACCTAAGTCATCAAGCCTGGTTCAAGAAAAATGCTTGGAGAAACTTCAAAACTTCATCTTTGCCAAGTCTCTGTGCTAGAAATTTGAATTCAAGTGCTTAGATTTTTATGCTGGCTCCATAGCCATCAAAGAACTCATTCAACTTGTGATCAGGAATCCAATCTCAAACCTCTCCTGTGCAATGCAGTGCACAGCTCTTTAAAAAACGAAGGATCCTAACAAGCTCTAGGACACTCCTATCCCCAGTCAATAATCTAGCTAGCACTGGCAACATACATAGATCAGTCTTGGAGTTCAAGGGACAAGGAGCAAGAAGTGTTAACAACTCCACAGCCCAAAATAGTGTGAACTGCAAAGCTGCATAGAGGGTTGGCATCTAGCCACTATATCTATTCAGTGAGTTTCATTCTTCCTTTCTGCTGGGTGATCTAGTTGCTCCACCAAATGAACAGCTTCACTTGTTTCTGCAAGGAATTTTTCCATTGCCATGCTCTGCAGAGTGGCCTTCAAGACCACACCATTGCTTGCTTTTACCAATTTCATTCATTTAAGTCAATAATATGTTTAAATCTTTACTTGTCAAAAGGTTTCTTAAAGTCATATGTTGATGACATCCTACTGGAAAAGCTAAGTCAATAAAGGGTATTGAAGTAGTACTGAGAGAAGGAAGACTACATAAAAACACATAAATGAAAATATAATATTACAAGGTACTATACATGTACATGTATCTCTAATACTCGTGTACCACAAAAATATTTAATATTGTAGTGAAGTATTTGAAATATGTCCTGGGACACCTACCAAAATATTGCTTGGCAATGAACAGGCAAAAAGAAAGGCAGTTAAAATTTCATGCTCATTCAAGAAGTTATAAAACTAGTTCTTCTGAATGTTTAACTGTAGAAATATTCTATTAGTATATTAGTTCTATTAGTATATATATTCTGCAGAGAATATGAGATTAATCTTAGGAAAGGCATAAAAGCTAATGGATGCACATGATATGTTTGGAAAAGTAATAACCAGAAAATGAAGATACATGGTTATGTTCCTGATTCTGGGATAACTATGCATGTTATGTACCCATTTGTTTACCCTTGAATTCCCTGGGTTTCAATGCAATGACTTACTGAAATAAAAGTTTTCCATTTAACCTGAGGAAATACATCAGATTTTGGGTTGGAACTTCTATTAGTTTTTGACTATCAGATTTTAAATAGGAATATCTTTCTTCCTTTTCTATGTCAAGACAGAACACATTTACTATTTAGAAGTAAATTCTTGCAGAAATGCTGTTTTTATGCACTACTGCATGAAAGGTGCAATTTGTTTGGGTAGTACTTGAGAAGTCAGGTTTTATGTGTTAATTGTAACAGTAAAATGTGTTATAGATAGGTTTTATGTGTTAATTAATTAATTTTTTTACTTCTCAGGTTATGCTAGCTCTAACAAAGAACATCTACATCTTTTGGTGTTGTAGCACACAGTCAGTCAACCAGACTTGCTTGTCCTGCCTTACCAACAGATTTTTCATTTCCTCATGAACATTGTCTTCATATAACTTGAGAATGACACGAACAACAGCATGAGTAGAACCAAATAAAAAAACCCGTATGAGCTACCTAATGTGAATTATATTTAGAAAAAAAAAAGTGAGAAAGAGAAAGGAGGTGGAAGATAATGACAACAACCTTGGAAATCTTTTCACAAAAAGAAGTACCTGTATCACAGAATCACAGAATCACAGAATCATCTAGGTTGGAAGAGACCTCCAAGATCACCTAGTCCAACCTCTGACCTAACACTAACAAGTCCTGCACTAAACCATATCCCTAAGCTCTAAATCTAAATGTCTTTTAAAGGCCTCCAGGGATGGTGACTCCACCACTTCCCTGGGCAGCCTGTTCCAATGTCTAACAACCCTTTCGGTAAAGAAGTTCTTCCTAATACCCAACCTAAACCTCTCCTGGTGCAACTTTAGCCCATTCCCCTCATCCTGTCACCAGGCACGTGGGAGAATAGACCAACCCCCACCTTGCTACAGCCTCCTTTAATGTACTTATAAAGAGCGATAAGGTTGCCCCTGAGCCTCCTCTTCTCCAGGCTGAACAATCCCATCTCCCTCAGCCACTCCTCATAGGACTTGTTCTCCAGGCCCCTCACCAGCTTTGTCGCCCTTCTCTGGACTCTCTTGAGTACCTTGATGTCCTTCTTGTAGTGAGGGGCCCAAAACTGAACACAGTACTCAAGGTGCGGCCTCACCAGAGCCGAGCACAGGGGGACAATCACTTCCCTAGACCTGCTGGCCACACTGCTTTTGCAATCTACTGTATGCAGTCTAGATGTTTTGCAAACACTATATGCAATCTAGATGTCAAAAAAGAAGTGCTAGAGGTGGGCCATCCATCCTTCTCTGCAGGGCTGGCTCTTGCCCACTCATGTGGGCATGAGTGTGAGTTTGTGACCCATGGAAAATGATCTCTCTCTCACTTCAGGCCCAGCTGTGACTGCAGTCACTTTATATGCTCTAAGAGTGGGCAGCAGTGAAGAAGAATTATTATTTCTGTTCTACAGGTCAGGCTTCTAGTGACATCCTGAAACGTGTTAAGCTATATGATAACCATGAAGGTAAATCCTTCAAAACCCTTCAAAACCAGACTGAGATCTAAATTTTTCAGTCAAATGGAAATGTTCTTTTCTTTTCTTTTCTTTCTTTTCTTTTCTTTTCTTTCTTTTCTTTTCTTTTCTTTTCTTTTCTTTCTTTTCTTTTCTTTCTTTTCTTTTCTTTTCTTTTCTTTTTCTTTTCTTTTCTTTCTTTTCTTTTCTTTCTTTTCTTTTCTTTTCTTTTCTTTTCTTTTCTTTTCTTTTCTTAAGTCTGGAGAATGTCCTGGGGAAAATATGTTCTGGTCTGGGGAGGGCTCTGATGAAACAAGTGGAGTTATTAAAAATATTGTGTTTTGCTTTTGGATCAAATCTTCATGAACAGACATATTTTACCTTATTAATGATCCTGTATTAGAAAAATATATCAAGCTCTTAATAAGGGTCTTATGACAGATTCTTCGTTCACTGTATTTCAGCTAAAATGTTAAGCCTTCTGTCTTTTTATAGATTTTATAGCTCCTAGTTAAAGATACATATGCCCACTTCCTTCAACCATAAGTGAGAAAAACGAACAGTATAAAAATGCTTTATGGCTACAAATCCTCAAATAGCTGACATTTTACACTTCTAGAAAGAAAGAAGAGGGCCACTTTCAGCTCACAGGTCAGCAGACTAAACTGAGAAACTCTGTCAGAGAGTATTGTGCACAGAAGCACCAAGGGGAAGACTTACAAAGGAAACACTCACCTGTACAGAGTGCTGCACTTAAATCACCTTTCAGATCAGATCAAATTCAGTCTGAGTGTAGTTCCTGATTCAGTCTCCTCCCTTGGGGGAGATAGGTCCAGTTCTTACACTTGCACTTTGAGATGAATGAACTTGAGGAATTAATAGGTTGTTATAATTTCTTTTCTAGGTGGAAAGCTTGCACTTCAGCTTGGCAAGCTTGCATGCTGAACAATCACAAGTAAAGAGCCAGTCTGAAACTTTTAGATATGTAGTTCTGACCATCTGAGGAAGGCTTTTCCTTAGAGGCATCAAATCTTTGGTTTTATTCCATGCTGTTCCTAAATTCTCATCCACCTCACTGGAAAAGAGCATACAAATTATGCAGTCATAAACCCGCTTATATTTGGCTGAAAATAATTATTCACAGCAAATTAACGGCCATTAGAGTCATTTAGTCCACAAAACATTTTTAGGGTTCAATAATTTTTTGTATCTCTCAAGCTTACTGTCCCAAAATTAAAATAACTAATCTTCATTATAATGCTACCCATAAAATGAGAACATAACGTTTGGTTTGTCTGGGAAATTGTTAAAATGTAATGAAATGATACATAGGCTAAGGCTGGCCTTTTATTTCTGATGATATGTACAATCATTCCAGCTCCATCTTATGCTTCTTGATTAACAGAAGCAGTTTACTACTACACTAATAGATACCATTTATTTCATCTGCCGGAAGCAAAGAGATTAGGCATCCTTCAAATTTTCTTATCTGGAATAAGTCCTTATTTTGTTGCTACAGTTCCAGAATTATGTCATGTTAGGAAATTGAAGAAATACTCTCAAAAGAAACAACAAACCACCAGCCCAATAAAAAAATAAAATACAGTTTATTAGGTATTTAGGACTCCAGTCTTAAGACGTTCATTGTTTTGCTCCTACCTTTTCCCAGGGAGTTGGTTTGTCCAAGGAAAGTGTCTGGCCCACCTCTGGAAGCACCTGGTTTCACTTCTTCATTCCACATATTCTTTCAATTATAATTAAGGTCTGGAAGTGATTTTGTCCTCATTTTACAATGAAAAACTGGGGTTCAGGGAGAGCAAACGATCAACTGAAATAACAGGTTCTGCTGCAAAACAAGGGCTTGAACTCTACTGTAAAAGATCTAAAGTCTACATACTGGATTAACCTTAAATAGCTCAGTTGTCTCTAACTAGGATAAGTATGATAAATTTATCATACTACTGCCAGCAGGGTACCATCATCTGAAAGGAAGATAACAACTATAGGATAAGATGCATTGCTATTCAGCAGTGCTGATAATGATTAATTTTATGCTTGTACTGCTTTATATATATAGGCAGATATTTATATGCAGTGTTTTTAACACATCACAAAATCCTTGGTCTGAGAGTTTCAGGTTCATGGTCTATCTCCCTGTTCCAAAGCAGAGTTAACTGCAATTGTGATATCTCTAGATAAACATTCACATCAGGCTGTGCAAATTCCACAGCATTTCCAGTAAACCATCCCAGTAACCTTTACATTACAAAGGTTTTCACACAATCACAGAATGTTTGAGGTTGGAAGGGACCCCTGGAGATCATCTGGTCCAACTGCCCTGCCAAGCAGGGTCACCTAGCATATGCTGCACAAGATACAGTTTCTGGTATCTAACATGAACCTTCTTCACTGTCTTTTAAGGTTCCCCTATTTATTGTGAACATGAAGAATATTTAATCTCTCTCTTGATATGAAATGTTGTGTACTATTAGCTGCCATGTTCTCCTTCCATACTTTTTTTCTTTGGGTGAGACAACCCAATTAATTCAACTTTTAACACCTAAATACCTAATAAGTCCTGCTGATCTTTTTACTTTTGTTTGTTTGTTTGTTGTTTCTTTTTCCCTCCACATCCTTCTAGAAATGTTCAACACAAATTACTCCAGGTGAGATCTGGGCAGAAATAGGTGAAGAGGAAGGACCTCACACACTGATCATAAGAAACTGCTCACTACAGAAAATTATCTGTTTATCTATATAGATATTATTTTTTTCCTGCCTAATACTTTGCTGTTTTGAAAACCAGCCTATAAATGCTGGTGCATGACAGAAAACTTTGAAAATTTGGGGGAGATGGGAGTTTGTGAGGAGAAAAGTCACTTGTGTATCATTTATTTACACGGCTGGGTGGGTCCTGCTCACATTTTTATTGGCGTTTAAGCCAATGTTTTCACAATACATCTTTGTTTCCAAGGTTTCAAGCAATTTGAAATTAGCCTCTGTGACTGCTAGGTCTGGAAGCTAACCAAGAAAATCGTTCTTTTAAAAAATCTAATAATGAAATGGAACCTAGAGTACCAGGAATATTTTATACATGTTAAATGCTGTGTTATTTATCTTCATGGCTACTATACACTGCTTTTGTTATCCTTGTCACTGTGTGCAAAGATAAATGTCTCCGCATAATAATTCATTATGTATTTTTTCTCTAGGTATACCTTATATAAATAGAGATGCACTGCTGAGGCAAGACAGTTTGTGAATGGTTGCCCATTTTGTTAGAAAACTGCAGACAGAGAATGTCTGTGACCAAAATCCACAAGGTGAAAGCTAAGGGCCAGAAATATATCTAATCTGGAATCCAGAGGAGCTCAAACACTTGGCTCTTGCAGCCTAATAATGATTAAATGAACCAAGGTGGGGCACTGAACTTCACTATTCCCTTGTGATTTTTGTGGTTAATGATCTATTGTCATACATTTAGTCATGGATGTTCTTCATAGTCTGATTAGAATTGTTTTCCAGTGCAGAACAATGCCAAGAAAATACCAAATATGTAGCAACAGCTCTTTGACGCTCCACCAGAACCTTAAGGTGTTGGGAATGGAGAGGAAGAGTGACAGTCCAGATTCTGGAAAGACAAGCTCTCTCTTTGAAGACCCAAGAATGGAGCCAACTCCTTTGGTGATAAGTGAACCAAGTTAACAAGAAGATGGACACGAGCTATAGAGAATGAAGAGCAGAAAGTGCACTGTACTCTAAGACAAAAGACTGGAAATTTCCTCAAGGTATAAGTAGATATATGCATATCACACATGTTAATAATAAAGGTAAAATATGATTTTAAATTCACATAATAAATACTGCAAATCTCAGTTTTTTTAATTATTATTTTTTATATCTTTAATATTATCATGATGAACCAGCAACTGTTCCAAAATTTCATGCATTTTCTAAAATCTCTGATGAACGTGTATGCATATAGGAGCTTAGTGCTTGTAATCAAGACATTATCATCTCCTAATGGTTATATTCAGGCAGCTAATCCTACAGTTTCTAATTAAGACAACAAAGAAGTGCTTTGGCTTGCAAAATTTCAGCATATTCTAATATTTCAGAAAGAAAATGCTTAAAGTGGGAGGAAACAGACATTAGTTTGGAGGGTGATGTGACTGATGAAACTATGTGAATGATCAATGTCTTGAAAATCCTGTACAGAAATATGGGACCTGTATATATGAACATAGTTCTCATGTAAAAACTTCAGACAAAAACATTTTTGCTATTCTAGTTTCATGCAAGAAGTCAAACAAAACATTTTCTGTCTTAACTGTAGACAGTCCCTCTAACGTATAGAATTATTGTTCAAATGTATTTTAAAGGAATAAATACACCACATGAGTACTGCCATGATATATTCAGTATAGCTCTGAGGCTTTTTATTCCTTGTTACCCTAAAATAGTAAGTTAGAATGTATATTAACACAGTTTTGATGAAAAAAAAAAAAGAAAGAAAAAAGCTCTAGAAACAACAATTTATTCAGAAGAATTCCAGATCTAATATTCTTAGTGCTGTTCAGATGGCTATTGGTGTGTGTTACCCAGTGTACTTTTAATCACAGAAACACAGAATGGTTGAGGTCAGAAGGGACTCTAGATGTCCAAACCCCCTCTGTTCAAGCAGGGACAGCTAGATCTGCTTGCCCAAGACCATGTCCAGCAGCTGTTGAAGATCTCCAAGGAGGGAGACTCCACAGCCTCTCTGGACAGATGTGACAGTGCTCCATCACTGGTAAGTGCATCTGGTGTTCAGAGGGAGCCTTACGTGTGACAGGTTTGTGTCCATTGCCTCTTGTCCTGGCACAGGACACCACTGAAAAGAGCCTGGCTCTGTCCAATTTGTACCTCCCTTAAGGTATTTATAGACATTGATAGCATTCCTCCCAAGCCTCCTCTTCTCCCAGTCTGAACTGCTCTTTCAGCTTCTCCTCATGGGAGAGCTGTTCCAGTCCCTTAATCACCTTCATTCCATGGGACTTTATCCAGTACATGTCTCTCTTGTACGGAGGTACCCAGAACTGGACCCAGGACTTCAAGTGTGGCCTCATCAGCACAGTATATAGAAAACATCACTTCTCTTGACCTTCTGGTGATACTTTGCCTTATGTAGCCAAGAATACTGTTAGCCTTCCTAGTAGTAAGGCCACATTGCTACCTCACATTCAACTTGGCATCCACAGGAGCCCCAGGTCCTTTTCTGTAGAGTTGCTTTCCAACTGGGTGGCCCCCAGTATAGTGTGTGGGATTGTTCCTCCCTAAGTGCAGAACTTTGCACTTCTCCTTGCTGAACCTCAAGAGTTTTCTGTCAGCCCACCTCTCCAGCCTGATAAGGTCATACTGGATGGCAGCCTGGCCCTCTGGTGAATCAGCCACTCCCCCAGTTTTGTGTTATCTGCTAATTTTCTGAGGATGCCACTCTACCCCATCATCTAGATCATTAACAAAGATGTCAAACAGTACTGGAACAAGTATGATGCCTGGGATACTCTGCTCATTACTGGTCTTCCCACTGGACTTTGCACCACTGAACACTATCCTCTGGGTCCGTCCATTCAGACAGTTTTCAGTCCACCTCACTGCCTGCTCGTCCAGCCCATACTTCAGCAGCTTCTCCATAAGGTTCTTACAGGGAGCAGTATTAAAGGCCTTACTGAAGTTTGGGAAGACAATATATACTGATCTCCCCTCATCCATCAGACTGGTGATGCCCAAAAGATATTTGCATCCAGGATACTGCATCCACAAGTGACTTATCAAAATTATTTCCTGCAGAACTTCTTTTAATATCAGCAGTCATCATTGTCATTGTCTCTATGTAGAATCTGCATCAAATTTGCCCTCTGGATTAGTGTTTTTATATCAGCATAATTTTCAACAAATTATGGGGTACACATATATTTAAAATATGACGTTTTAGCTTTTAGTTTTTTCATACTACAGCACCATGACACCTGCTAACAACTAAGCAGAAAAAGGAAAAGACTGCTCATGTCAATTATAATAAGAAAAATGTTTGAAATCAAGACAAACATTTGACAATTGAGGAATTCTGTGTGAAAAGCTGTACTCTTTACTTGTCTGAATACTGTCTATGGCACAGAAAAAGTAAGCATTTTTTGTGACAGAATGTCATCATCACAGGCACTGATTAATATTTTATTGAAATCTATTGTCTTCATTTTGTTTGTGATAGTGCTTTTTCCTAGGGATCTCAAAATACCTTACAGAAGCTAATTGACTGTTTACACAGTACAATGATCATTTACTCAGACATGATTAAATGCATTTATTAGCATCCAAGTTAAGCAATAGGTAAATCTTATGCAAAGAGAACATGGAAGTAGAATCTTGGACCACATCATACCTGCAGCTTAATTCCAGTCTGTTAGATGAGAATGCCAAGGTATCAGTTTTTGACTCTCTGCCCCCCTCTCTAGATAGTAGACAAAACTCACTGTGGCTTTTAAGGAAGAATCATTTCAAGTAAAGTAAGCATTTCAGTAAATTACAAGGTGATAGGTTAACACAATCTCTTCCACCACCAAAATATGTTTGCCTTTCCTGATATCTTATTTGGAACTTTTGCCAGCACACTCAAGATTAGGCAGAGAATACTTTCTACTGGGTCAAAACCTGAGAGA